TGACCGATTGGTTGCATCCTGCATGAGTCCCGACCAGAGCCCAAGCTGGCAACTGAGGTACATGCCCTTGACCAGAATTGAACCCAGGACCCTTCAGTCTGCAGGCTGATGCTTATCCACTGAGCCAAATCAGGTAGGGCTCACATAGCCTCTTCCCTGCAGAACCTTCCCTTGTTTTCTAGGTAGAATTAATTGCTTACTTCTTCTTCCGCTGTGTTAGCACTTTACAAATGCCTTTGAGTGCCTGTATACAACTTTCCCAATTATCTCCATCTCCCCTCGATGTGAGCCCCCAAGGGACAGATTTGTGTAGGCTTCCCCATGGGCCTTCCCTGTGGGCCTTTCCCTGAGGGCCTAATACTTCAGGGAAGCTCCCAGTTAAGGCGCTGTTTATATTGTGGGATTTCTCAGAGCCATTTCTCTGTTAATGTGCATCATGGATCTTCAGTCAGGGATACGGAATGCTGCAGTTTCCAAACTCACTTGACCGAAAAACTCCGTTTTCGCCAAAGTTGCTGTGTTAGAGGAATTTAGAGAAGAAAAATGACTGCGGTTCTTAGGGTGACCTTAATAAAAGAAGTGACTTTCAGTAAGTATTTGTTAAGTAAATGGAAGAGAAGAGCTTGGTTAGGTCAAGGTGGGGAACAGCAGAGACAACAGAATGAGCGGGGCGGGGGACTTGGAGGGCAGTCCTTGGACATAAGTCTCCGATGGTACAGGATCACGACCCAGGTGCTGAGTGCCGACAACACTGCCTCCTTGCTGTTGAGCTTCAATTTGCTTCACTCTGACTTTGAGAGGGTTATTGGGAGAGGTGGGGGCAGTGATCAGACTGATTTCCCTGCAACTGCAATCCTTAAGACAGATTCCTGTCCTGGTCTGTGCCTCTGTTTCCCTCTCTGTGGTCTAAGGGAAGAGACACAGACTTTCTCCCAAACTTGGTCCAAATGTCCAATAAAAAAAAAAAAACACAATAAAATCAACACACAAGCCCAGCTGGTGTTGCTCAGTGGTTAAGCCTTGACCTATGAAACAGGACGGCATGGTTCAGAGCACATGCCTGGGTTTGCAGGTTCAACTTCCAGTGGAGGGCATGCAGGAGGCAGCCAATCCATGATTCTCTCTCATCATTGATGTTTCTATTACTCTCTCCCTCTCCCTTCCTCTCTGAGATCAATAAAAATGTTTTAAAAATAAGATAATAATAATGATATCTATCAAAGGAAGCCCCAGTCCTACCCCTGTAACTGTGGACAACTCACTGAACAGCTAAGGCCCTTGCTCTGTTTGTCCAAGAAGCCTTAATTATGCTCCACTGTCTCCCAGGGCTTCGGGGAGAACCAAGCAAGACTGCATGGAAAGTGTTTTATAAAGAAGGGCAGGGGCGGGAAGATCTAAAAACCTAAGCGTTATTAGTATTGTTCACAGGGTGCAGAGGGGAGGGTGGAGGGCAGGAGGGGGCGGCAGTACCCCACGTGGTTAAGAGCCAGGGATCAGCAGCTGCGAACCCAGGCGCTTACCTATAGCTCAGCCACCTCCTAGCAGCCTCTCTCGCCTGGCAATCAAGCACCAGGGAGCCCTCCGCGGCTATGAAATGAGGATCCTATGCGGTTCGCTGCTCGTCGCCGGAGGGTAAGCGAGGCAAAGCGCGCAAAGCAGGCGCGCATGGCACACAGTAGCAGGCCCTCAGCAAATGCTCATAATATTCCTAATATTAACATGAGCAGGAGAAATATTCCTAATAGTAATATGAGCATTAGGAATATCCCTAATATTAATATGATAATTAATGTTCCTAATTAAAATTTTATTAATATTCCTAATATTAATATAAGCATTAGGAATAATAGTACTAATATTAATATGTTCATTAATATTAACATATTCCTAATATTAAGATGGTGCCCCAAACCCTAGAGATACCAACTGCTTCTGGTCTCGGGGGGAGGTCGCCCCGGGTCCTGGGGTTAGGGGTACATCGCGCCCCCGCCCCAGCGAGCCAGCCCAAACCCCCACCACCGCCCGGAACCAGCAGCGCCAGCCCAGCGCGCGCGCCCGGACCCCGCCCAGCCCTACGGCCGCGCGCTCGGGGCGGGGCCGCTTCCTGCCGGCGCCCGGCCCCGCGCACCCTCGGGCCGCCGACCTCGGGCGCCTGCGCCGGGCGGCTCCGCCGGGGGAGGGGGCGGGCGCGGCGGGAGCGCGCGGGGCTGGGCGCGGGCGACGCTTGCTGCTCGCTTGGGCCTTCACGACGCGGGTTCCCGGGCCGAGGCGGTCTCTCCCGCGGGGCGACGACGAGGGTGTGGCGGCGAGGTCGGCCGCACCGACTCCGCCTCGGCTCCTGCCCGGCACGTCTCACCGGGCCCGGCTGCTTCCTGGCGTCCGGCTCCCACGCAGCGGTGCCGGCCTCCCGGGCTGCCCGCCCGCCTGCAGCGGGGCTGGAGCTGCCGAGGGCGCAGGTGAGTCCCCTGGGCGGGGTGCGGCGGCCCTCGCAGCTCCGACAGGTACTCCGCCCGCACTGGGTCCGCAAAGTTAAACCAAAACGACAGAAATGCTGAAAGAGAACGCACGGTGCGCCGGTGCCCGGGAGGGTGGGCACTCGGTGCCCCAGACCCTGGAGACACCGCGGCGTCCTTGCCCCCTGGGCCAGCCCCTCTCGTGCCCAGCGTCTCCCCTGCAGCTCGGGGGCGGGGGTGGGGGGGTGTTTTGGGAAACAAAACTAAGAAAATAAGAAAATTGCCCCCTCCCCTCCACCCCCAGTGCTCTCCTGGCGGCTGTTTGACTTTGGAAAAGCTGGCAGGCCCAGCCTGCTCCTGAGGGCAGGGCAGGTTATGTAGGGGAGGCCCACCGAGAGCCCAGAAGCTGGGACCCCTGTTTCTCTCTCGCCCCTCCTCCCCCGCGATGCACTGCGCGTTCCCTAACTTCTTGAAACTTGGCTGTCGGCTGTTTCCATCTGCTGCCTTGGACCCACAGAGCAGCGGTGCCCTGCTTGCAGGTTGTTGCTTCACCCCGGCTTCCGTGCAAAGCCTGACCCTCCCCTTCGGGGATTAGGAAGTCTGTGTTCAGATCCAGGTTTCTGAGACAGGCTGGGATTAAGGCGATGCTTCGGGCTGCGCACTATGCGCTCCCTCTTACAGAAAAACCACCTGTCCTAGGCACCCTCCATCCACTCTGACTTTCCCCAGAAATCTGTATTTGGTAAGAGAAGCCACTGACATCTTGGTAGCTGTGGTTATATATGATTTTTGATGATATCACTTTAAGGTTATTTCACTGCCCTGGTCCTGTGTATTAAATGATAAAGACACGATATTGAGACTGAGGATGAAGATGTTTGTGCATCATGCCACTCTGCCCTTTTTGGTGGGGGTTTTCTCATGGTATAACTTGGGGAGCAGGAAGACAATGGAAGACCTGAAAACTAATAGGCCCCCCCCCCTTTTTTTTTTTTTTACATTTTACTAGGTTGGCAAACCTTTTCTGTCTTAGCTTGGGGAGAGATTTCAGTGCTTTTAGTGAAAAGAGTTTTTCCACTATCTCTAATAATAAAAGGGTAATAAGCTAATTAGACTGGACATCCTTCCAGACGTCCTTCCTGACAAAGTCTGGGCTAGAGGGAAGCCAGCCCGGGTCCAGGGTGCCTGCCAGCGGCCAGAGGAGGGAAGCCCTGGTCCCGGGTGCAGAGGGAAGCCGGAGCCGGCAGCTGGGGGAAGGCCTACCCTTGCATGAATTTTCGTGCAAGGGGCGTCTAGTTGAATGATAATATTTGTAAAGCTTTTAGACTTGTGGGTGTAAAGGTTAAAAATGAGAACAAATTTTGCTCGGTGCTGGAGGATTTTTTTGGTTGAAATAAACGTCATGAAAAATAGTATGATTTGGAAGCCCATTAAGCCTGTGAAAAAATGGAAGCTCTGAAGTTCATTATCGCTTATTATTTAACCACCACTCCCCCACAAAAAAAAAAAAACCACGCACACAGAAATTGGTGGTCAGATAATGGATCTCCATTTTTCTCTTAGAATGTAGAAGTTATAGTGAGGGAAAAATGAATTATATATACAGCAGAACAAATAGTGTAAGTCTTTTATATCTCTACTTCAACTCTTTAAAATCTGTTACTTCCATATGTTCTGACAGTTGATTTGTGTTGTTTCTGTTTTCTCTCTCAAACTAACAAATACTATTCCTCAAGAGGCACTGAATCTCAATGATTATAATAGTTCCAATTCTAGATTATCTGAAAAGAGGGCGTAGGTTATTGAAATATACAAAATACCAAAAATTGACTTTTCACCTATTTTACTTTACAGTTGCACCAATTTTCTTTTTGCTACAGCTATAAAAATGTAATAAATGTAATAGCCATAGCTGGTTTTGCTCAGTGGTTAGAGCATTGGCCTGTGGACTGAAGGGTCCCAGGTTCAATTCCTATCAACGGCACATGCCCAGGTTGCTGGCTCAATCCCCAATAGGGGTCATGCAGGAGGCAGCCAATCAATGATTCTCACCATTGATGTTCCTATCCCTCTCCCTTCCTATATGCAATCAATAAAAATTTATTTAAAAATAAAATAAATACAATGAATTTTAAAAGAATAAAATTCTTCCTGTAAATGGTGAATGAGGACGGAATAGAAAATACAGGCTTGAATGATAGCCATTCAGAACCCCCACAGTGACAATCCTGAAGGCATTTCTTTAAAAGAAATTTAGTCTAAATTTATATTTCAGACATTTTAGAAAGGAATTTGGTAGTTCCACAGCCCCTGTGAGTATTTTCCTTACGTTATAGGTGAGAGGACAAACAGAAAGCAAAAGGCCACATGACTTTGCCAAAGGTTCCTTAGCAGGGCACTGGAGAGCTGAAATGGAGTGCTAGCTGGCTTCCAGAATTGATCATAGCGTTCTGAACGCATCAGAAATAGTAAGTGCACCTCGCCTGACGGATGCAGTTTAAAGTTCACTCAGTTGAGAAGCGTATTTCTTTCAAAAGGAAATTTAGTGCTCCCTTTGGCAGCCTGTATCCTAAAATTGGAACAATACAGAGAAGATTAGCATGGCCCCTGTGCAGAAATGACACACAAATTCGTGAAGCATTCCATATATATATTTTTTTATTTTTTATTTTTATTTTTAAAGGGAAATGTGCTTTTTAATCCTGGAGGAGGAGGAATTTATCTTTTCTGGTCAGAACTTAAAACGCAAAGCCAAACCCATGAGCTTGACATTTTGCCTTGATGGATTGCTTTTGTCACAAGGCTCGTTGTAGCGGAGCAGATGGTCATGCTACTTGGGAGTTTTCCACTCATTTGATGTTTCCGTGAAGGAACAGTTTGCCGGAAGCCAGCCTCACTACAGTTGCACTGGGGATGATGCTGAACTTTGCTTGCACAGGCTCCTCCCCTCCTGTTGAACCAGTTAGTAAACCGAGGGACAGCTGAGTCTTGTCAGAGTTGGCAACAACTCTAGTAATAACAGCATAGAACCGGTATCCCTTTGTGATTCTTTTTCTTTGCCTTAATAAAACCAAGCTACTTTTAAAGTGCCAGCTGAGTTACCTTATAAAATGATCCCCCCCCCCCCCCATGTGTGCTAGGATTGTCAGGTCTCTTGGCTGGCTTTGATCATATCTCTTTCTATTACAATCTAACAGCCGGGCCAGGGTGGCTCAGTGGTTATACATTGACCCATGAACCAGGAGGTTGCTGTTTGATTCATGGTCAGGCACATGCCCAGGTTACAGGCTCCATCCCCAGTAAGGGGTGTATGGGAGGCAGCCGATCGATGTGTCTCTGTCTCTCTCTCTCAAATAAATAAAAACTTATTTTTAAAATAAATAAGTGAAATCTGACTGCATTTATAATGTCAAAAATTATGAAGTGGTTGACAATGCGGACTTAGCTGCAGTTAAAAAATCCCATGGTTTGCCTTTAGCGAGGGAGCATTGTCTGAATGGTAATGTTTCTAATACTGTACGTGCTGAGTCACAACGTAAGATTTTGGGAGGCCTTTTTCAGCCAGTTCTCTGATTTTAAATCTTTACACTTCTTCATACTGGAGCCTTATTACTACTGCCAGTGGTTGCTCCAGAACTGGTTTTATTGATAGGTCTGTGCTTGATCAGTTTTCTTAAAATTATACAAAGTGTTAGTTAGCCATTTTGTTGCTTGGAATTAGGTCATTTGGGTATGTATTTTTCTCATTTTATTCTTTTTTTTTTTTAATATATTTTATTGATATTTTACAGAGAGGAAGGGAGAGAGATAGAGAGCCAGAAACGTCGATGAGAGAGAAACATCGACCAGCCACCTCTTGCACACCCCCTACCGGGGATGTGCCCGCAACCAAGGTACATGCCCTTGACCGGAATCAAACCCGGGACCCTTCAGTCCGCAGACCGACACTCCACCACTGAGCCAAACCGGTTTCAGCTCATTTTATTCTTTTAATATCAAGGACACCTGTGGTCCTCTTGGGTCCTTTCCACCCAACAATGCATTGGCATAGATTGTGCCTATATAAAAATCATTATTTAGCATCAACTATAGATGAAAAGCATTATTCTGAGCATGTATTCTTTTATTTAAGTCTTTTAATAGCCAGGGATTATTATTATTCCCACTAGCGGCCTGGTGCAGGAAATTCATGCAGCCCAGCCTATACTCTCTCCAATCTGGGACCCCTTGAGGGATTGGCCCTAAACAGGCGGTCGGCCATCACTCTCACAATTCAGGACTGCTGGCTCCCAACTGCCCTCCCCTATTGGCCTGGTCCCCCCCAACTGCCCTCCCCTGCAAACCATCTTGTGGCGGCCATCTTGTGTCCACAGGGGGTCAGCCATCTTTGACCACATGGGGGCAACTAACTTGTGTCTTGGTGTGATGGTCAATTTGCATATTACTCTTTTATTAGGTAGGTCTAGAGGCCCAGTGCACAAAATCCGTGCACTTCTGGCTGCCGACCGCATACGCCCTTCCCCAGCTGGCCCTGTCTCCTGGTCGAATTCCCAGATGAACTCCTGGTCTAGGGGAAAATCTGCATATATGCTTTTATCATATAGGATAGGATTTTATAGTTGAGGAAACCAAAAGGGAAGCAAAGCAAACATAGGGGAGCCAGAGTTTAAATCTAGAAAAGAATGATTATGGAACCTGATCTAGTCTGATGGGATAGACTTAAAGACTTTTCAAACTTATTTACAGCTACTGTCATATTTCATCAGTCCATCCTTTTAAAAACTGTATCAAATATGCAGTAATGTGTAAGTGAAAAAAATATGACAAAACTATAAAGATTATTGAGCTATCTCGAAACAAAAGTCAAATAATTTAACAATCTAAAAATATTAAAGAGAAAATAGCTATAAAGGACATTGGGATAGCTGAGATTTGAATATAGACTGATTTAGATAATAGTATTACATCAATGTTAAATTTCCTAGTTTTGACCATCGTAGTGTGGGTTAAGTTAGAAAATATATTCTTGCCGAAACCGGTTTGGCTCAGCGGTAGAGTGTCGGTCTGCGGACTGAAAGGTCCCAGGTTCGATTCCGGTCAAGGGCATGTACATTGGTTGTGGGCACATCCCCAGTAAGGGGTGTGTAAGAGGCAGCTGGTCGATGTTTCTGTCTCATCGACATTTCTATCTCTCTCCCTTCCTCTCTGTAAAAAATCAATAAAATATATTTAAAAAGAAAAGAAAATATATTCTTACACATTGAAGTAATGGGAAATAAGGGGGCCCACATCTTACTCTCAATGATTCAGGGGGGAAGTATATATATATAAAAATAGAGAGTTATTTTTAAAATGGGCAGAAATATAAGTAATGGTAACTCTGGGTAAAGAGTATACAGGAATTCCTTGTACTATTATTTTTTAAAATATATTTTTATTGATTTCAGAGAGGAAGGGAGCGAGAGATAAAAACATCAGTGATGGGAGAGAGTCGTTGATGGGCTGCCTGTTGCACACCGCCCGCTGCGGATGGAGCCCGCAACCTGAGCATGTGCCCTAGACCGGAATCAAACCCGGGACCCTTCGGTCTGCAGCTGTCACTCTACCCACTGAGCCAGACCTGCTAGGGCCCTTGTACTATTCCTAAAATTTTTCTGTTTGAAATTATAATCCCTCCAAAAAAGTTACCAAAAACACAGGTAGAAAACAGGAAATGGAGGTGTAACATTCTAAGAAATTTTTTTTTAATCAGATGAAGCTTTGTTTCCTGTGCTCTGATTTTTTTTTTTTTAAGGGGTTATAGGAAGGACTTTGAAACAAACAAAAAATCTTATCAGAAATAACTTGACTTTCTCAGATTTCAAAATCTAGCCATTCAGAGCTCCCTGACTCTCAAACCTCTAAAAAAATAAAACAAAACAACAACAACAACAAAAACGGGCACAGTGTTTCCTCTCCTCTTTTTAATGTGCTAGAGGTAGAGGAGATTCAAACATCCGTCATCCGTGCCTCTAAGGCAGTGTTTCCCAACCTTCTCTCATGAGAATCACCTGGTGGAGTTGTTAAAACACAGATTCCTGAATCCCAACTAAGAAGTGCTAAACTAGAATTTTTGAGAACATATAGGTAAAATTGCATACCTAACTTAGTGCTCTGTATATAAAATCTGTCTTAGAGCACTAGTTAAGTATACAATTTTACCTATATGTTCCCAAAAATTGTAGTTTAGCACTTCTTAGTTGGGATTCAGGAATTTGTGTTTTAACAACTCCACCAGGTGATTCTCATCATGAGAGAAGGTTGGGAAACACTGCTCTAAGGTACAAAGACGGTCCGCCTTTAGTGATACTGACAGTTGAATTGGGTTGATTGTAACATCTCCCAGCCCAAACACCTCAGTGGCATGCTGATATCGATGGGATCTTAATGTCCAAACTCTCTAGCCTTGTTTTCCCGGGTTCCTGGCTCCTACCTACCGTTCTACCATTGTCTCATGCCATCTCCGCCAAGCAGGCACACTCCGGCCACACAAGATTACTGGACGTCTGCGCACCCTGACCTCTGTTTGCCCTTGAGCGGCCTTGCTTGGGAGGCACTCCCATGCTTTTCCTGCCCGAATGGCGCTCATCCTTTCAGTCTCCCCATAACCGCCTGTGGGAAGCTGGCTCTGGTCTCACACAGAACTGTGTTTTCCTTTGTCTGTGGTGCAGACACAGTGCTATCTGCTTGCATTCAGCAGTCCTGATTCAGCATCTACTGGAAGCTGGAAGCTGGGCCAGGGACTGGGGCCTCAAAGGCAGCCATGGTCTGGTAGCTAGGGCTAAGTTGTAAACAAATAGTCACAAGGTGAGTCCATAACAGAAAAATAGACAAAGTGCTGTGAGAGCCAGGAGCTCCACCTGACAACGCAGTCTTGAAGAAAAGATTGCAATGGAAAGCCACAATTAGATACTATTTCCCCCTCCTCTGGTTCCTCTCCAGATTGGAGATTTCCAGCACAGTAATCTAATTAAACGAATACATTTAAAACGATTGCAGTACCTGCAGGCTTACCCAAGTAGACTTATTCAATAGAAAGCTAAAAATAGAAGCCTCTAGAACTCAGGGAGGGAGGTTGAGTCTGGGTGTGTAAGTCACACAGCGGTGTGCTCAGGGGCAGCTCACAGTCTCACGGGGTTGTGTCCTTTTTCCAACCCCCCCACCCTCTCATTGCCCAAGGTTCTGCCCTCGCTTCCCCCTCAGCTTTGGTGACATCCTTCCTGGCTTAAGAATGAAACAAAGGAGGCAAGAAGCTCTGGTGGCGAGGTGGTTAGATGCTTGGGGATGGCTGGTGGAGGAGGAAGAGGAGGAGGACGGGGGGTGGGGGGAACCTCAGAGAGAGACGTTATAGAGCACATGTGTCAAACACAAGGCCCGCGGGCCAAATCCGTCCCGCCAGGCCTTGCAATGTGGCCCGCACCGCGCTGTCATCACTGCACTCCGCTGCGTTTCCATCACAATGACAGTTTATGACTGTTCAGTAAACCATTCGGCCCGCGATTTAGGCTGGATTTTAGATTTTGGCCCCTTCTCTGGTTGAGTTCGACACCCCTAGTGTAGAGGGTGAGTGGAGGAAGAGGAGCAGTGATGAAGGCAGCTGGGAGGAAGGGGGCAGGAGGGACGGGACCAGAGGGCAGGGCCACAGGAGGTTCAGAGTGCTGGGTGGCGGCAGGGGCGAGGGCTGCAGAGCTGGGCTGAGGCCTGACGTCAGGTTCCAGCTCGGAGGAAACGGTCCTGTCCACCGCGGGGCCGGTTTCAGCCAAAAGGTCCGACAGGAACCCAGCCACTCTGGATTCAGGAGCGGCTGGCATCGAGGAAGTGAACCCAGCAAAGACTTACTCTTTCCGGAAGTTGTTAGGAAATCAGAAAAGAGAGGTAAATGACGATGGGAAGGTGAACTCGGAAAGGTTTTCTTTAATGCAGGCTGGGTGGGCCGGGAATCTTGAGCAGGTGTATTTGCTGGAGGGAAAGGGGCAGAAGGAGAAAGAAATCGAAAGTATAGGAACCAGTTAAAGGAGCACGATCCTTCCCGAGTGGTCAGTGTTGAGAAGACAGTCTTGCTTTGCGAGAGCCCCTTGAGGACAGGAACCAGGTCTTATTTACCCGCTGTCCCTAGTAATCCCTGCACACAGTAGGCATTCAGAAAATGTTTATTCAAGAGGGTAAAGATGTTATTACTTTTTAAAAATTAGTTTTTTCTGATTGATGTAGTAGCATAACAACAAAACCTCTGTTTTAATCCTATAACTAAAGGCCCGGTGCACAAAATTCACGGGGGAGGGGTGGGGGGGGGAAGGTTGTCACCTCAGCCCAGTCTGCACCCTCTCCAATCCAGGACTCCTCAGGGGATGTTCAACTAAACCAGCAGTCGGACATCCTTCTCACAATCCAGGACCACTGGCTCCTAACTGCTTACCTGCCTGGTTGCCCGGTTGCCCCCAATTGACACCCCCCTCCCCCCTCCCCCCCGCTGGCCTGGTCGACCCTTACTGCCCCCCTCACCAGCCTGATGGCCCCTTATTGCCCCCCCACCCCGGTGGCCTGGTCTCCCCTTACTGCCCCCCGCCAGCCTGGTCGCCCCCAACTGCCCCCCCACCCCCCAGCCTGGGTGCCCCACGCAGCCTGCTGTTCAGTCGTTTGGTCATCCCTTACTAACCCCCCTGCCAGCCTCATTGCCCCACACAGTCTGTGTTTGGTCGTCTGTCGGTTGTTTCGGTCATGATGGCCCCGGCTTTTTATGTATTAGGATTAACATCCTGTAGTGTGCTCTATGTAAGCCATAAATTTGCTGCCTTATGTTCTTTGAAATAAGAAGGAAAATAAACTGAGTATTATTGAGGTAATAGTAATGATCACTTAACTTTTCTGTGCTTGGTATTTCTTGAGTTCTGTTTCGGCATCTTCACGTGTGTTCAGGCGGGTGTGGGTGCAGTCGTCGGAGCAGAGGGGCACGCACATACACAGGCTCTCTTCCAGGCTCAGCACAGGGGCTCGGCAGCTCCATGCTTTGGGGTTAAAATTCTTGATTTTTTAAGTGTTCGGAAAAGGACATCGTTTTGATTGTTGTCTATGATACATGTTACCTACGGTAAATACTTCTGATATTAACAAGGACTGACTTTGTATGGAGCTTTCAGTTCTGTAACTTAATTCTTTGAGAGTATATCCAAAAAACCAAATTGGTTAACAGAGGTAACATCAGCTCCTCGCTGACCACATTTCAGCTGCAGATGGTGAGTGAATCAGTGTGGGTTTTATTCTGCTGTGCAGTTTCCATGTTGTAGACTAAAACCCACAACAAATATGTGAAGGCAGTTCTGGTTCACATTTTCCTTCCTGCGGCTTGCAAACTAGCATACATATTGATGCTATCTCATTTTCTGTTACCTTTTCCCCCTCGATTTCACTAGAAAACTTTGCCGTTTTCCCTTTTTTTGGGGGGGAGGGTATTATATCATTGCCAGTGTTATATTATACAAAATATGCTAAGCAAATAAAGTTAGTGCATATAGAATTCAGTTGTGAAGACTGTAATGAGCTGATTGAAATGCTGATTTATCTTTAGTGAATAAAATTGTTTCCCTTGATGAATTGCTGTCTTGAGACTTGATTGGAACATTGTTTGCTCAAAATTTTACCTCTTTTGTTTTCTTTTCTTGACAGTAGATGCCCGGTAGACATCTTAGAACTTTAACAACAGAGAAGACCTGCTTTTAGGGGAAAATGCTGAGGGACTCTATGAAATCGTGGAATGATGGCCAGTCGGGTCTCTGTACCAGTGACCAAGAAGAGGAAGAAGAGATGGTTTTTGGTGAGAATGACGATGATTTGGAAGAGATGATGGATCTAAGTGACCTGCCCACCTCTCTTTTTGCCTGCAGTGTCCACGAAGCAGTGTTTGAGGTGCAAGAGCAGAAGGTAGGCACAAGTCCTGCCTTTCCCGGCACTGGTAGTGTGTTGAATGTATGTGGGTTGGTGGGAACAGAGCAGATGGCTGCCCGTTTGCAGAGTCTGTGATTGGTCCATGACACATACAGGAAAGATGCATCAACCTTTATACATTTGCAGCAGCATTTTTATAGTATTATTTTTTTTTTTTGCATTTTATTTATAATGATTTTATAAGTGTCGGTCTGCCACAGAGAGGGAATATTTTCTTCCCCACAGATATTTTGGGAACCACTGGTTTATAGTGAATTAGGTCTTATTCAGTGCATTTATTCATTCATTCACTCACTTTTGAAGCCTGTAGTTAAGAAAAAGCTACTGATTTTTAGCGTGGCTTCCTATTGTGAGTAAATTCACAAAAGTCCTTTTCTGGAGCTAATTAAATAATTAGGACTATTTGTGATTTCATTATAGTAGAATTGCTAATACTTCTTGTTTTACTTTCTACAGTTTGACTTGTGCAAAATGGTAATTTTTTAAAGGCTGCTCTCCGTTAGTTCATTATTATTTACCTGGAAAGAGGGCAGTTTTGTGTGTTTATTTTTCTGTCATGACCTCATAGAAGCCTATAGGTCTTAGTCCTGCCAGAGTAAGATATTCCTCCCATTGCTACAAATTTTGCCTGTTTTGAGACTCTCTCTCACAGTGCTATCAGCAGACCTCTCAGCTTGTGCCTGTGACTCAGAGTATTTTCCTCCTGGTGACTTTCTTGAAGCTGAACTCCGTACAGTTTGACTCAGTACATACCTGAGTGCCTCACCTCCACGGGGCAAAGCACCGTGCCCGTCGCTTCAGGGCACAGAGCGGGCGCTTCCACCGCTTCCGCTGAGACAGTTTACGGTCCCACAGCGGAGAGGAGTCGTGTGACGTAAGATGGAATACCGGTGCCTTTAGAGATGCTTGGAAGCACATTAGTGAGAGGATTACAAGCAGTTGGAATAAAAGTTCTTCTGGGGAGAATACGTTGGGGCAGAGCTGTGAGAGTTGGGTAGGAAGTTAGCGAGGAAAGGAATTCTGACCAGAGGGAAGAAAAGGAGCGAAAGAGCGGATTCACAAAGGGTATGGACCAACCACATCGGCGAGTAGCAAGCAGTTCCGTGTGGCTAGCGCACAGGTGAGATGTAGCCAAAGGCAGGAGAAATCTGGCCAGAGACCTGGCTGGGTAGCTCAGTTGGTTAGAGCATTGTCCCGGTTCGCCAAGGTTGCAGGTTTGATCCATGTCCAGAGCACATACAAGAGTCAACCAATGAATGCATAAATAAGTGGAACAACAAATCAATTTTTCTCTCTCTCTCAAATTAGTAAAAGTTTTAAAAAAGAAAATTTATTTATTTTAAATATATATTTTTTTGATTTCGGAGAGGAAGAGAGAAGGGAGAGAGAGAGAAGCATCAGTGATGAGAGCTAATCATTGGTCGGCTATCTCCTGCATACCCCATGTTGGGGATTGAGCCCACATGTTCCCTAACGGGGAACCGAACCATGACCTCCTGGTTCATGGGTTGACACTCAACCACTGAGCCACACTGGCCAGCTGAAAATGTATTTTCTTTAAAAAAAAAAAAAAAGGGAGAGAGAGAGAGAAATCGGGCAGGAAAGTGAGTGTGGGGCATCCTGCAAAGCTCAGGAGCTGGCCCTTCTGTGTTAAATAACCTTCTGAGCAAAGCAGTGATGATCAGAGTTACACTTCGGGAAGGTCCGCTGACGACACGTGAGGCAGTGTGGAGGACAGAGAGCCGGCAGCAGGGAGCCGGGGGGCAGAGGATGCTGGAGCATAACCCTGCCTGCAGATGCTCAGGACCCAAAAGTGGAACAAGGGAGCGGGAATACAGCCACCAGTTTTCTACCTTTTGGGTTTGTTTTCATTTACAAATGCTCTTTTTTTTTGCCATATTCAGTCATAAAATAGAAATTTAGAAATAATCTGATCCTAATTTTCTTGTACTTCCTAAGAGCTCTAAATTTTCATATAATTTTATTAATCTTATTTATTTGTTGTGAGAAGCACAAATGCTACTCATTTATCTTAAAAATATATACATCTGGAGCACTTTTGATTTTGCTACTTGGGCAATTTTGAATTTGGGGTCAAATAAACTCTTTGTAAATTTTATATACATATGTGTGTGTGTGTGTGTGTGTGTGTGTGTGTGTGAATTAATTCCAGAAACTTTAATATATTATCAGTTCCAATTTTTTTTAACTGTAGTCTAGAAAATTTTTTAACTTGCCAAAGCAGTGAATCAGTGAATTCTTATTGGTTTTTCATTAAAAAAAAAACAAAAAACTATACAGGGGTGGGCAAATATAGGTTTACAATTGTAATACAAATAAATAATACAATAATTAATAAATAATAACACAAGAATAAACTCTTGTGTTTTGTGTACTCAAAACTATAAACCTATTTTGCCCTTCCCTGAATCTAACCTAAATGTTTATTCGGAATCGTATCAGCAGAAATTCTAGTAGCAGTTCAGTGGATTTCAGGTAATATACACTTCTTAGTCATAGTAAATCCTATATAATCCTATATAATAAAAGCCTACTATGCTTAGTGCCTGGTTGTCCAGTCAGCTGTTCAATCAAAGTATAATACGCTAATGATATGCTAAGCCCCCTCAACTACTCACTATGACATGCACTGACCACCAGGGAGTAGACGCTTCGACCAGTAGGTTAGCTTGCTGCTGGGGTCCAGCCAATCGGGACTGAGTGAGATGGGCCAGACATGCCCTGGAGCCCTCCCGCAGTCCCTCCCAGGCTGGCCAACCTCCCTCGATCCTCCCCGACTCCGATTGTACACCAGTGGGGTCCCTCAGCCTGGCCTGTGCCCTCTCACAGTCCAGGACCCCTCAGGGCTCCTTAGCACTGCTGCTGCACTCGCCAACCATGAGCCCAGCTTCTGGCTGAGTGGTGCTCTCCCTGTGGGAGCTCACTGAACACCAAGGGGCAGCTCGTGCGTTGAGTGTTTGCCCCCTGGTGGTCAGTGCATGTCATAGCGACTGGTCTCTTAATTGTTCGGTCAATTTGCATATTGGCCTTTTATTATATAGGATATATATCTCTCCTGTAACTTACTTTTATTTTATTTTTAATATTTCAAGAAAGACTATTTTAAATAATGTTACACGTAGTACACCCTTTAATATTTCAAGAAAACCAATTTTAAATGTTACATGCAATAAACATTAGTATTTCAAGAACACAGGATTTTAAGTAGAATAACACTAGAGGCCTGATGCACGAAGTTCATGCAAGAGTAGGCTTTCGCGGCCCTGGCGGCTGCCTCGGCCCTTGCAGCCACAGCATCATCCGGACGGTCATCCCACTGTTTGGTCAATTTGCGTATTAAGCTTTAATTATTATAGATTACTAAAATTGTACTTATATAATATGATATTACAAAAGTTGTAGGAAGTATTAAAAATCTGCAAATAACAGAATTCTATTATATTCTAAAATATTTTTTTCTCTGGCTATATTTCTGAGTTGTTTTCTAATGATGATGGTTGGTATATGTACAATATAAATCTTTCTATCAAGCATTTGGTTCTTCACCTTCCATTTAAAGGAGAGTGTTATTTAAGAAAAATAAATGGTCTTTGGAAGTTAACTGAATACACTGATTCTCTGGTTTTTAGACTAAATCAATTGCGTGTTTTCTGACACAACCTTCAATCCAGAAGAAGTAAATACTTCTTTAGGAAAGTAATGTGTTTTAAATTTGGGAATTGAAAAGGGGATTTAGAGGAAGAATGTTTCTGTTTAGTGAACTGTATTTTTAATAGTGCCTTGAATGTAATAAGATTTCAGTAAATACTTGTTTAATTGAATTTGTAGTGCTATTCTGGCTACAAATAAATGGAAAACCATACTATGTCCATGAGCTGGAAGATTTAATATTGTTCAGATATCAGTACCACCAAAAGCAATCTACAAATTCAATGTAATTCTTATCAAAATCCCAATGACATTTCTTACAGAAATAGAATAACTCATCGTAAAATTCATATGGAATCTCAAGAGACCCTCAACTAGTCAAAACAATCTTGAGGTGAAACCAGTTTGGCTCAGTGGATAGAGCATCGGCCTGCGGACTGAAGGGTCCCGGGTTCGATTCCGGACAAGGGCATGTACCTTGGTTGCGGGCACATCCCCAGTGGGGGTTGTGCAGGAGGCAGCTGATTGATGTTTCTCTCTCATCAATGTTTCTAACTCTGTATTCCTCTCCCTTCCTCTCTGTAAAAAATCAATAAAATAGATTTTTTAAAATAGATTAAAAAAAAATCTTGAAAAAGAACAAAGTTGGAGGGCTCATACTTCCTGATTTCAGAACTTAGTGCAAAGCTACAGAGATCAAAACAGTATGGTACTTACATGTCAATTATATCTTAACAAAAAATAAAAAATAAACGAGTAAGGTACTGGCGTTAATATAGACATTGCCCTGGATTGGATTGCATTGCCCACCAAAGGGTTCTGGGTTACACGCTGGTCAAGGGCTTGTCCCTGGGCTGCACGTTAGATCCCTGGCCCTGGTCGGGGTGCATGGAGGCAACCAGTTATATCGATGTTTCTCTCTCTCTTCCCCTCCCCCTTCTTTCCTCTCTGAAAATCAATGAAAAAAATATTCTCGGGTGAGGATAAAAAAAAGAAAGAAAGACAGATAATTTGACCAATAGAATAGAATAGAGTCCCAATAAATGAACCCTTGCCTTACATGGTCAAATGTTGTTGTTTTTTTTATTAATATATTTTATTGATTTTGTACAGAGAGGAAGGGAGAGAGATAGAGAGCTAGAAACATCTATGAGAGAGAGTCATCAATCAGCTGCCTCTTGCACACCCCCTACTGGGGATATGCCCACAACCAAGGTACATGCCCCTGACCGGTATCAAACCCAGGACCCTTCAGTCCCCAAGCTGACGCTCTATCCACTGAGCCAAACCGGTCTCGGCAGTCAAAT